CTATTGCTCCACCGACGTACTTCTTCCTCCTATATATATATCCACGTACCCCCAAACAATCGGATACGGAGCCAAAAACCTAATTCCCCCGCTGCAACTTTCTGTATCCACGAGATCTCATCTTGGAGCCTGTTCCGGAGCTCCACCGGAGGGGGCATCGATCACGGAGGGCTTCTACATCATCATCCAAGCCCTTCCGATGAAGTGTGAGTAGTTTACTTCAGACCTGCGGGTCCATAGTTAGTAGCTAGATGGCTTCTTCTCTCTTTTTGGATCTCAATACAATGTTCTCCCCCTCTCTCATGGAGATCTATTCGATGTAATCTTCTTTTTGTGGTGTGTTTGTTGAGACCGATGAATTATGGGTTTATGATCAAGTCTATCTATGAATAATATTTGAATCTTCTCCAAATTCTTTTATGTATGATTGGTTATCTTTGCAAGTCTCTTAGAATTATCAGTTTGGTTTGGCCTACTAGATTGGTTATTCTTGCCATGGGAGAAGTGCTTAGCTTTGGGTTCGATCTTGCGGTGTCCTTTCCCAGTGACAGAAGGGGCAGCAAGGCATGCATTGTATCGTTGCCATCGAGGATAACAAGATGGGGGTTTTATCATATTGCATAAAACTATCCCTCTACATCATGTCATCTTACTTAAGGCGTTACTCTATTTTTAACTTAATACTCTAGATGCATGCTGGATAGCGATCGATGAGTGGAGTAATAGTAGTAGATGCAGGCAGAAGTCGGTCTACTTGTCTCAGACGTGATGCCTATATACATGATCATACCTAGATATTCTCATAACTACACTCAATTCTGTCAATTGCTCAACATTAATTTGTTCACCCACCGTAGTTTACTTATGCTCTTGAGAGAAGCCACTAGTGAAACCTATGGCCCCCGGGTCTCTTTCTCATCATATCAATCTCCATCACTTTATTATTGCTTTGCTTTTTTACTTTGCCTTTTACTTTTCACTTTGCATCTCTATACAAAAATACCAAAAATATTATTTATTATCTCTATCAGATCTCACTTTCGTAAGTGACCGTGAAGGGATTGACAACCCCTAAGCACGTTGGTTGTGTTGAGCTATTGTTTTTGTGTAGGTACGAGGGACTCGCGCGTAGCCTCCTACTGGATTGATACCTTGGTTCTCAAAAACTGAGGGAAATACTTACACTACTTTGCTGCATCATCCTCCCCTCTTCGGGGAAATCCAACACAGTGCTCAAGAGGTAGCACTGGGCGTAAGCCTGGGCGCAGTTGCAGTGCTCGTAGTTGGCGTGGGGCGGATCTTCCATGCTTGTCGTTGGCGTGGGCGCAGTTGCAGTGCTCGTTGTTGGCGTGGGGCGGATCTTCCATGCTCGCCGTTGGCATGGGCGCAGTTGCAGTGCTCGTCGTTGGTGTGGGCGTAGTTGCAGTGCTCGGCGTTGGCGTGGGTGGATCTTCCATGCTCGGCGT